CCGAAACGCCATTAGTTAGGTTGGAGTTAAAAATTAGTGAGTTTGACAAGTGTCCAAAAAAGAAGATAAATAATAAGAATAATAATTTGTTTTTCTCGTGAAATAGTCCAGCCGAATACCAAAAATTTATTAGGCAAAATGATTCTCCTGGTTTTATTCAAGTTTGTAGCTTTCGGGTAAATTTTCGACAAAACCACTCGCCTGACGGCACAGAACCTGACGGCTCGTGATTGTCAAAAATACCATTCGCGAAATTGCCAAGTAACTAACCTATTATATATGAGAGCAATATATCAGTGCTGCAGGTAAGTGCTAAACGCTTGTTTTACAATGGGAAAAATCGGGTGTTCTTTTTTTAATGCACATGTTCTTCTGTTATTATTATTTTAAATGGTTACGGGATGACTGTTCTATAGTGCACTACACACTCCCGATGCGTGCGTGTTTTTTTATTTTGAGCTAAACTAAAAGAGCAACTCCACATGACTTCGAGAGTCAAAAGAGCTGACTCTGAAAGCACCAACTTGAGAAGCGCCAGGAGCGGACAGGCACAGTGAGTTCGTTTTCGTAATTTGGATCATTTATCCTATTTTTTTTCTTTGCGTCAATCGACTATTCGACTGATGACTGATCTACAGTCAACAAGGAAGTATTTCATCTGTAATCAGCCTAACCAATAACAAAAGGAATAGAAAACTGAGACAAGACATAGAAGACCCTTTATTTTTAATAATAATTGTCAAATTGACCATTCCAGGACACGTGACTTTGTCAAGTCCGTCATATTTGCTGAGGGGCAGACAAAGCTTATAGGCCGGCATACACACACGTTATTTCGCGTGGTTTATCGTGGCGTGTTGGGATGTAGCGGTTTGCACGCGCGAAAGAACGGCGTGGCAAAAAAAGCGTCATGTTCCATACACTTGACAAAGTATTCAAATGATTTAGCACGTGATTACGCGCGGCATATCAGTTGGAAAGGAAAAACCGTATGTGTATGGATAAAAAGTGTCATTTATCGTGTCGTTTGGAAGTGCATGTTGTCATGTACTAATTTTCAACGTGATAGTTTGCTACGCGGCGTTTATGTCTCCGTATACTAGCCTCAAACCGTGACGTGGAATGGCGTGTGGACACGGTTGTGAACTGCACTATCATGTAGGTACTTGAGTACTGAGACGTCACATTCCAGATGAAAGCACGTCTGAAATCCCTTCCCATTCTATCATTGCGTGTAGCCCTCCTCACTCACGCACATGATTTTTCACAGGTTTTTGCAGATGAGACGATAAACCGCGCGAAAGAACGTGTGTCTATGCCGGCCTAAAAGATCATTATCGTTTACATTGTTTTTTGAGTTTGTGCTTCGGAATTTTTGCATTTTTTGATTCGTTCAATAATAGTAAACAATTTATTAACAAAAATAATGTTTAACAATATAAATTGTTCAAAAAATAAAAAAGTTTGATACTAACAGTCTTACAAATAATAATAAATAACAAAATAAATTTGTGGTAAAATGACTCCTGAACCGTTCTGACTGTTCTTCTGATCGGTGCACAGATCTGGCATGTACCTTACTGGCTTGTTCATTCTGGGCTTTTATGAATTATTGTAGTATATCCTAAATTTATACTGGGGACCCAATCCCCATTGTTTATGTCCTCAAATTCTGCTGGACTACCTAAAAGGTAAGTACCTATTGAAAGTTACCTATGCTTGTAGAAACAAACAAATTTTTTGATATACCTAGATGATGTGTTTCTGTATTTCAACAATAAGACAGCCATAAAACTTACCATTAACAAAATTTTTCGAACAGATTCGAGCATTTTTCAACAACGTTTCAGTCAAATCTCACATCTCCCCTTTTGAGGCATCTAATCCATATAGGTACTCCGTTGTTTTTTTGATAACTCGTTTATGGGATCCCCTCGACCTTTAAATGCTGCTGGAATCCTAAAAAACCTCATACTTTATCCCTTTCAGCTCTACTGGAGCACCCAAAAACGCCACAAAACGAAGGCATCTTCATAAAATAATAGTTCAAAAATTCTCGGTTTGCATTAAAAATAACATTTAATCAGGTTATAGGTTTGGCTTGTGTGTGATGCCCCTCAGTTAAAATGGCGGATTAGTTATGACGTCACCCTGGAATGCCTAATTGTTAGGGTTAGGTTAAGTTAAGAAACTCCCTGGCCATTCAGTTTCACTATCTACTCCAAAAGAACTTTGGTCACGTGGTAGAAACGCCACTTGCCAACTTCACTCCTACCAAGAAATTGAGGTAGAGGTATATATTATATTTCTATAAGCGCAAATACACTATATGATGGGTTAGTTTCTATAGTTAGAGTAGGTATACCATCGTCACCAAAAGTAACTGGGACAGCATTATATTAGCTCTGGTACTATTATATGATTTTTAGTGTCAAATATTTGTCAAACTATGATTTAAATGCATTGATGACGGTAGAACTAGTCCAGGAGATTAATATGATTTATTTTTGTCCCAGATACTATTGGTGACGATGGTACCTAGGAACCTATGTAAGTTAAGAATAATGCATTCCCACTAAACTTGTAATGTTGCAAAACTTGTCGGCAATATTCTATCGACCTTGCTTAAGAAAATTTATTAGGTAATGTGTCGTTAAGCTTTCTAAAATATTACTTATCCAATGTAAAGGACTATAAATTTGATATAACTTAAATAGAGAAACATTCGTTTCAGTTATTAAATCAATGTTGCAGTGGATACAATAATGTATTACATTTGAAACATTATAAAATGTAAGTAAAGCAAATATTATAGATAACAATGTTATAAAATGTAACTTTTCCAAACTCTGTCGCTTTAATGTTGCGGAAATATTCACGTTTGTAACATTAAAAAAATATAACAAAATAAATGTTTGCATAAATATTATAAGCTCAACTTTTACATGCGTACGTCAACAGTTTCAAGAATAAGAAACGTTACCTAAATATTTCAACATAAACCTTGGAATAGGAAACATAAATTTTCTCAATGTTGCATAAAACTTGCAGATAGATTTTATTTGCAATAGGCTGTCTTTGTCTCTGTCATACAAAAATATATTTGACTGACAAAGACGGGAAAATTGTTTGGGAATTCGGAACGGCGCAGATGCACCACCCATTTCTTGTTGACGCCACGGTCGCCACGCCACCAAAAACCAGGACGTAGGACGAAGGACCCACACGACGCTTCTTTTTTCTTGGCTTGACAATAATAATAGAGAGTTGAACAGGACGGAGGGGTTCATCAAGATCTTGAAATTTTGGCAGAGGAAGAGAATAAAGCCAATGTTGTAAGTTGTAAGACTTTTAACATTTTAATTTTTTGTGATTTTTCAATACTGTTTAATTTTTAATTTTAGGTGGCTTTTTTACAATACCTATGTTGGAGGAATTGAGGCATGTGTGATAAGATCAATTGGAAATTTGAAGTTTATCAACTAACCATTGTGCCCCGGTCTGTAGTTGGACTGGCAGAAAAGGGAATTAAAAATAAAGGATTTTGCATTAATGCGAATCCTCACCATACCTATATCAAAAATCTATCATATATACAATATTTCATTATGTAAATTTCTGTGAAGTACCAATAAAAATATTGCAACTGTAATATTTATCTAACTTTATAAACAACGTTAAATGCCAGGTTTCTGTAAGCTAGCATTTTGAATGTTAAACGTAATTTATTTTTAATAATAATACAAGTTGAGGCGATATTGCAGAAAAGTTTATTTTGTAAACATCGCATTTGTTAATATTAGAATAAGTCCGTTTCAGTATAATTGCAGCAACCTTGCACTTACATAGCAGCAATAAAAAATGAAACATTTCAATATTATCTAGAAACATTACTAAAATATTGAAGCGATATTACATTGCTTAGTGGGTTACCTAAACTATGGAAGTCTTACCACTTGCTCGATGTCTGCTTGGTGACTATTTCTTATGGGAATTGTGGGTTGTGGGATTCTCAACAGTCTTGGCAAGTCGCCTTTTTCAAATCGAAAATTACCTATAGCTAACACTGATGCATCTATTTCATCCAAATTGAAAGGAGCTCTTTCTGGGATCTAGAACATGATCATGCGTGGTTAGGTTGTTGAAGAATATCATTCAAAATTACAGCTCTTAGCCGATACCTCAGAATATTCTTTTTTTGAAATTAACAAAAAAAAAAATAAAGAAATCTGAAGATAACCTTACTTTCACTAAACGTCAAATAGCGTCTAAACAAGAACTAGGGATGACAGGGTGCAAAAACTGATAATTCCGCTGAAAAATATAGCGCGACGCAAGACGCAAGCTAACGCCACAACGCGTTAATAAACGATAAGTCACCTAAGGGAGATATTTCATAAGAGGTGCAAAAGGTCTCTATTGTCTTTTGCTCAACGATCTCCATTTTAATGACAAAATTGTGAAATTGGCATAGCATAAAAATAACGATCCTAGAGTGTTCTACGCCCATAAAGCATAATAAGCGACAAAAACCCATTTACGTCAAAAAAATTACTCATTAAAAATCCCTAATTGGCTTATAAAAAGTATTAAGTGACACGATTTCATATTCAGCGACAACAAAGAAGAAAGAAGGCATTCTCTCGAACACAATGCAAAACTAATAGAACAGAACTAATATCACAGCTTACGTCTCCGGACTATATGGCTTTATTACATAACCAATAGAAGTACTTTAGAGCATAAAACTGTTTTCCTAAATACTCAATCTAATAAAATCTCATCCCAAGGCCTGCCCATAAAATAAATACAAGAAAGCAAGTCGCGACGCCTCAGCAAATCTATTGGGCGCCCAATTATCGCTGCGCCATTCTTATTGGCCAGACCGCGATAGTAGGGGCAATTCTCGGGAAGGGGAAGACAACATGGCTGATTTACTGCCAGTTAGTCCCTCCGAGCAAAGCTTTCAGGTTAGTTTAGTAGAACACCTCTTGCCTGGTGCTTAATATGGTGACGTTGTTGTAGAACTGTGGCGAGTGTTGAACTCTCTTGAAACAATAACAAACAATTTATTTGTGTTCGCCGTGTGTTTTTTTGTTTTTTAATCACGAATCTAAATTAGACTTGAACAACCGGCTCACGAAGGACCAAAAAATATTTCCAGTGCTGTGTCTAAATTATATCTACCCTACCGTACCATAATTGCATAATTTTATTGGACTGATATTTGTTTAACATTAACAACCTAAAACACAAATGAACATTTGAACTAAAACCAGTAAAGGACTACCAAAGTGTTGGGTGTAGGCGAAAAAGTGTCGAGTACGGTGTCTGGCATGACCGTGCAAGACGAATCCAGGGCAATGCCGCAGACAGCAGCTACCAGGTCCCGGTTCATGATCACCGATATCCTCAATGGACCGGCAGCAGATGGAACCATCATGAGGGGTGGCAGATCGCCCAGTCCTGGACCCAGAGATTTATCTCTGCATTCAAACCCAATCCATGACAGTGATACTGATAGTTCCGGGCATCCAGATACCTCTAGTATATGTTCAAATGGTAAGTAGATACCTATATATTTTTTTAAACTTTAATCGACATCTTAGAGGTTAGGTATATGACGACTCAGTGAAGTCCACTCAAAATTCAAATCAAAAATCTCTTCACAATGGGGAATGGACAAATGCATAGGTATAGTTTAACCTAACCCTAACTTAAAACTTGGATTATGCATTTATCGATGTCCAATGATATTACTAAAACACATTTCTTATATTATTTAGGCGGCGTTCCGTATCTTAACCGGAGTTACCGATCATTAGGAAGCGGTTCATCTATGGTAACAGTCTGATTCCTGAAAATGCGGTTTATGTGTGGAATGCTTCGGTTCAGCTTTGGTTTGGCTTGGATGCTAGATGATAGAATATTATCCTCTTAAAATATAGGTATTTGTAATAAGCAATCGTCAGTAATGAATGTAGTATTCACCTCTTATTCACCGCAAATACACGTCGAAATCGAAAGAAAAATTAAAAAAACTAAAAATTGTCACCTAACAAACAAATGTCAGAAATTGAAAACAAACCGAAAAACCAACGTTTTTGATCGGTAGATTCCGTTGACAGTTGGGACCGAATTTTTCAGGAACCGCGTTTCATAACCTAACCAGATTTCAGGAGTCGCTATCAGAACGGAAACCGGAAAAACCAAGAATCTTGGTTAACTTACGGAACGTCGCCTTAATCAACGTCGGTGTCAATATGACACATTTAGCATTTTCATTTGAATGTCATTACTCATTAGGTCTTTCATAATGACACTAGTGCGATTATTAGAATTCATAATAACACCCAAATTATAAAATATAAAATAAGTATAGGTACAAAAAGATAGTTAGTTGCCAGATGAACCTTTATTTCATTGATGCTGTCTCGATATCCGAAGGGAGATTTTCGGACTCACCCATATTATTAATTATTTTCCACTATAAAACTGAATTTGTGGCACAAAAATGGACTCCAATATTGAAGCTGTCAATGTCAAAATTCTAAAAATTAACAACAGCACACTTGTTTTAGTTTTTCTCTTTATGTCATTGGGTATTTAATATGTCTACTTAGGTATATACATACCTATGAAGTAAGTATAGAGGAATAAAGGGCCCTAATATTAGGATAGCTCCTAATATTGGACACCCTTGTATTTGCCTAACCAGATACCTACATAGAGCACCACCTATAGTATTTTTAATACCCATTTGAAATAACCCCATCCTTGTTTATCAATCATGAATCAGATGAAACAAAAAATTACGATATTGCCGGTTTGTTATTTTTCACGCTATGCACAATTTCTCACCGAGATCTGCTCGATCGTCGAAATAGCGAAAGCCAGATACGAACTTCAAGTAGTTGCATGTTAGGTATAATTGTTATTAGTTTTTCCGTGAAAACATTCTAACCTCCAAATATGATCGGTTGCCTAATATTGGACATAGGCGTTGCGCCTTGCGCTAATGCGCCCATCAATATTGGATATCCATTAGGTATGAGGATTTGAATCAAATGGTTAGGAAATCATCATAAATTTCTATGTTTGTGACTGGTTTAGATGAATAGTTAACAACATTCATAATTTAATTTGCAGTAGCATAATGTTTATTTATTTTATTTTTTGCATAAATACCATTCGCCTAATATTGGATACCCTATCCAATACTAGGACACCATTTTTTTAAATCAATAAAATGTCGTTCTAGACTAAATTCCCTGTTTCTTTTAAAACTAGTACACAAAAGTTTTGTCAATGCGTCTGACAGGTAGGTAGTATGGCCGAGTTCGTTTTTGTCATCTTTTTCGTCTATTTGCTCCGAAATTTTGACAGGCACGTGATTTGTAAATTGAAACTGTCTTATTCAGTCACATGTCTGTCAAAATTTCGGAGCAAATCGACGAAAAAGATGTCAAAAAAGAACTCGGCCTATGATAATGTCGAAACATAATTTAAAAAAAAGAAAGTAGTTATATTATCAATTTTTCCCCAAAATATGACAGTTTAAGAAAAAGTATTAGGACACTTCTCCTTATGTATAGGTGTGGGTATATGCGAATTAGATATACGCACACAAACATAGGTAACATACTTAGGTTGTTATTATTTCCTATCGAATTTAAAGCTGGATATCCAAATTATTCTTATTGTTTTGTTTCCTAAATGTTTTATAAGTCCTCAAGTCTTTCTTCTGGACCACCTAGGTTTTTGATAATGTTTGGTATTACGCATTTCAGGCCGCAGTACCTAGGTATAAATAGGGATGATCAATATGTAAGATTATAGTATAATGTATACATATTTATTTTTCTATATCATTGCTCTGTGGGACATATGACTTTAACGAGATGCCTTTATATGAGTTGGTTTGATTTTACCGTCAATGGCTTTCCACAGACCCTGGAGATAGGGACTGTTTAGTGGTTTAGTAAAGTCATTCCTTTTGTCTGGCATTTTGAGGGCTGAGTGTGGGTAATTGATGAGAATATATACCTAAGTAATTTTCGCGAAAAAATCTATTTCAAACTGTGATAACTCTGTCTGGCGATATTTTAGCGTTATTTTCACAACAGAACCTTTTATTCTCTCGATTACCAGAGAAAAAGTAAAGGCGGAAAGTTGTACATACTTTTCTCTTGCAAGTTGACTCCCATCCCCACTTTTCCAGCCATTGGATTGAAAAGCATCTGACATTTTTTATTGGTGAATTATTTATCAATGTCAATCTTTTATTTAAAAGCATGATCATAAAAAAAATGGTTAATGTTAATAATAATAATAATAAATAAATATATTACGTAATCGAGTTATTACAACTGACAAAAGAAAAAATCTTAATCTATATATGTAGGTAGGTACTCGATATTATAACGATATTATGTAGATTTATTTGGGGTTATGCGTCTAAAGATCTTCAGATCTTGTGCGCACCCAAGTATAATCACAATCATAATCAGCAAAACGAAAATAAAAAATAGGAATCCGATAAAAATTAGCGAACATAATAATAGGGAAGAAATCCTATATTTTAAATATAATTAGTGCATGAATCTATATCTAACTTAGTAACTAATAAATTGATAACTACCTAATAGACAGCAAGTAAATGTATGAAAATTTTCTAAAACGATTGCCACTCTTGTGGCTGTATTTATTTAAGAGTTTAAGGTCGAGAATGTGAGAAGATGAAGAATATAGCTAGTAGGTATAGGTACTGTATAGTGGGTAAATGGAAATTTATTTTCGAAATTTTCGAACGGGGAGTATTACATGCCAATTTTAATGCGATAGAATGAAATACCTATTTAGAAAAAGTCTAAGATTAACTAGAGAGCGAAAACAATTTCCCCTGTTCCACCTCCAGCAAAACGCGCTGGGAATGTTGGAGGTGGAACAGGGGAAATCGTTTTCGTTCTCTATTCAACCCTAAACTTTCTGTAGACATTTCATTCTATCGCATTAAAATTGGCATGCAAGACGTTTGCTTGCCAGGCGTGTATGTATAGGCATTGAATTCACCGATATTCTCATCAGCTAACTCAGCCACATTCCACCCTAAAAATGCCAGACAAAAAAAATAATATGACTCCACTAAAAAATCCCTATATCATCTCACAGTCTAAAGGGTCCCACACACTGGCGCGTTATTGACGCGATATGGCGGTGGCGGAAGTGATCTGTCCGCTTACCGCTGCAGAAATATCGCTACTGCCACCACCAAATCGCGCCATGTGTATGATCCTTAATACCTATAGGTATCGTCTGAATAAGTGAGTTTTGAATTTGTTTCTGCATGGGTCCCAAATAAGTGCTTTTTATACCTCAGTTTCCCAGTTTTTTTTTTTTTTTTTTTAATGAATATTTTCGTTTTCTGCTTTTTTTTCAGAGATCATTGGTGTTTATAATTGTTCAATTTGCTCACACTGAATCACCTATTCACCTGACGCGAGACAAAATTTATCCCCATCAAATTGTTCTTTAACGCACACCAGTTGGGGCGAGTTCAGGAATGATACACTCATGGCGATTTCCATTTGTGAATCAATGCACACTGAGTGTATCCGCATCTTTTTCTGAAAGCATGTACCTAACATTTAAGGATAAGGATAAATTTTTTTTGCACTGGTTCGACAAATGGAAATCGCTATAAGTGTGAGTGTGACACCGGTGCGACGCCCTAACTGTTCAAAAATGCTAAAATCTGTTTTTTTTAAGATAATTCCCCAAGTCAAAAATCTAGTAAATATGTTGGCAACACAAGCCTTTTCTACATAAAAAAATTGAAAGCTTTGACAATTTTACATTGTATTGCCAACACAATGTCATTTTGACTTTTATCTTAAAAAAAAAAAAAACAGATTTTAGACGGTGCTATGGGCCCAATGGCAAATTGTCAATTCAGGCACACCCATAAAATCGCACTCGCACCTTGTGCGTTATTTCTGAACTCGGCCCTGCTAGCTTAACATGAGACATCTATTCAGGCCTATGATGTATCATCTACTGTTATTTTACCAGTTGTGTTATAGCTCAAAATCTATACATGTCTCTATTTTTACGTGTAGAATAAACAGTAACAGATAACTTAACGTTGCTGTCAAAATAACAGAAAATGATACATCATAGGTCTCATATTGAAGCTCAATTTGAAACACGCTTGTGATGAACAGTAGAATTTCCTTCTGTCAAGGAAGGAAGCCCCACCAAAGAGCTTTCATGAAATGATGATTCAACACTGAATAGAAATAGGAAATGTATTATAGTAGGTATACGTCTGCCTATTATTCTAAATACCATTACCAAATAAACTGCCTCAATCATTAGAAAAAAAAAAACTGGCAGCAAAAGCAAGCGTTTTCGATCGATCTCTTGCGTGAATCAGATCAGCGACAACAAATCAAGAGAAAATGCGGTGAAAAGAAAACTGTATACCTACTCATTACTATTAGGTACTTACTCGGAACGTCGTATGGGACTGCTAAATATTGTGTTGTAATATGTAGTGAATA